TTGGAAACTGTCTCGTTATTTGTTTCTCAATAAAATTATGGGACAAAAAGAAAAAAAAACCAAATAAATAGAAACACTAAATCTCTTGGGGCAGAAAGTAGGAGGAACTCTTGAAGACATAGAGGTAGGCAAAGAGATCATGAACAAACATCAAATTGCACGGGTGACACTTGAAATAATTAACTACTGGGACCTCCTCTTATGGAGAAGTTTTTGCCCGTGAAAAGAAATTACAGACAAAGTGAAAAGGAAACCCTCAAATTTTGAAAAAATCTTAACTAATAAGCACTTAGACAGAGATCTGCTCTCTAGAATTTATGAAGAACTTAAAAACATTAGGGCCCCTAAATTTAAAGTCCCAGTCCAGAATTTGGCATCCAAGATGAATACACACTTCTCATAGGATGAAATTAAACAAGCGAATAAATATATGATAAAAGGCTCAACATAACTAGCCATCTGTGAAATGCAAGTTAAAGCAACACTGAGGTAACATCTCACACCAGAAAGAATGGCTATCATAAAGAAATCTGCCAATAACAGATGTTGAGGGGAAAAATGAACCCTTCTCCACTGCTGGTGGGAGTGTAAACTGGTGCAACTATTAAGGAAATTAGTGTGGAAACTCCTAAAAAACTAGGACTGGAAATCCCATTTGAACCAGGTATGCCTCTACTGTGAACTTTCCCAGTGAACTGAAAATGTCAAATCATAGGGATATATGTGTATCTATGTTTATAGGATCACAATTTTGATAGGCAAATCTTGGAAACAACCAAGTTGCCCATCAACTGAGGAATGGATGAAAAAAATGTGGTATTTTTATACAATGGAGTACTACTCAGCTACAAAGAATGATAAACTCGAAGCCATTATATATAAGTGGATGCCACTTGAAGATATACTCATAAGTGAAATAATCCAGGCCCACAGGTGTAAATATCATATAGTCTCCCTAGTATAAGAACTCAAAGGAAGAAATTAAAATATAAAGGCATAACACACTTAAAAGGAAAGCAAGAAGTTGAAGATTACTTAATGAAGAGAGGACAAGCAGAAAAGTCAGAAAAATGA